GTTTCATTATCTTTGTAAATACAAATGGTGCTGTGTTTAAACCAAATGGAAGTACATTAAACTCATACAAATCATTGTAATAAAAACGTAAGTATTTTTTAGAATTCTCGTGGATTTTTATAAGGAGGTAGGCATCTTTTAAATCAAGGGTAGCCATGTAGGAACCTTTTGATATAAGTTTTACGGCGGTGCGAAGATCTTCTAATTTGAAATGACAGGTATCGATAAATTTGTTAAGATTTTTTAGGTTTAAAATAAATCTAAGTTTATTGTTTTGTTTAGGAATAACAAAAAATGAGGATAAAAACTGTCCTTTACAAGGGCTACATTTTGAAATAGCACCAATGTTTAGCAATTCTTGAATGGCTTGTTCTATTTGCAATCCCTCAGTATTAGAATAAGATCTCGCGTTAGGTGGGTTATCTTGATATACAGGGCAAGATATAGGTATCTCGTAACCCCGTATCCAATTAAGTATAACAGGATCATTCGTAATGAGTGACCACTGAGCATAGAAATTAGAAAGCCTACCGGCATATTTTACCAGGTCTAACGCCTGTTGCGGCTCGGCGCTGGCGGTGGCTGCGACGTTCTCGAGGATGGCGCGCGATGATTCTTCCGAGAGGCAGGCTGCTGAGTCCTCGGTGCCCCCGACGGCCTGCCCTTCGAAGGAGGACCCTTCCAGTTTAAATTTGTGGAAGGGAATGGCTTGGTTTTTGGTTTAGCGGCCGGTACGACAACAGGATTAGACTTCAATTCCGCCCCCGACTTAGAAATCGCCTTGGCTGTTTTGATAGTTTCGGCAAAGTTTGTTCCAAACAGCATTGAGTCAATCTTTGTGGACTGCAATTGGTCTTTCATGTCCTTTTTTAGAGTGGCGAGTATAAAGTTACGCCTAGTGACGGTATCTAGATATTGACAATCACATAAAATCCGGTTGGCATCCATCAAAAGCTTTAGGAGGGTAGGATTTTTCTCGGTCTGAGAAAGTAAATATGTGGTGGCCTGACCAACGCAAGATATTGCATTAGCCACTTGTTTTTGCTTAATCTCTATTCCTTTGTCCCTCTTAGCAATAGCCTCCGAGACAGCAGCTTTAATTTCCGGATTTAAAACCGGAGCATCTATCAAGGTGGAATTAGCTGGTGGTAGGTACTTACTGTTAAGTTCTTTGCGTGTCTCTTTTGTCAAGCCTGTGGTGGCAATATGCTGTAACCGGACAGCTAAGTCTTTATGTATGTCCTCGCCGTAGGATTTTTGAGTGGATGGGTCATCACCAAGTATGGCGAGTGTTTCGTCATCTAGAACTGGAGCTAATTCAAACGATACCGTATTCTGGGCATCCGATTTCAATTGCTTTTCAGGTTGAGCGTCGGCAGAAACGGCCTGAATGGCCGCGAGAGCAGCCGCATCCGCAGCGGCGCTAGTTGATGGCCCCGATTCTTCGATGCAAGGGTGCAACGGTTCCTCGATAAGTATGTCGCCTTCGTCTGTTATTGGTTCGATGTTTATTAATTCGCCGTCTGTAAATACGGTGCATAGTTGTACTATAACAGTTACGAAACAGCCCTTATGACTGCCTGCCAAACTGTATGATGGGTAGGTTACAACTCAAACGTTGTCCCGCATGCCCAGTACAATAGAATAATAACATACTAACGTATTGATACGAGTACATTCTATTTTTTCTTAATATGACGAAAATACGCCAAATATTGTGCGGTTGCAAGAAAAAAACAATCTAGGCGGTAGGTAAAGTAACAACCCGGTGTGGTTGCTCGCAGTACCTGACATAGCGTAATATTGTTTACTAAATGTACATTGGTAAGGTAGGGAATAACTCACAATTGTTAATCCCGCAAACCTTTAAAAAACACTACACTAAAACATAATTATATTTTATTGTAATATACATAATTGTAGGTATGTACCTTGCGAGTTATTCGGCGGTTCGTTATCATCGCTCCGAGTAGACGAAGATGAATCACTTAAATGGCGAGTTGCACGTAAAATCTTTCGTTCCATTTTCTTCATCTTTTTTAACAAATGCTCGTAATCCTCCTTGGATTTCTTCCGTTTCGGCATTTTAGCGTTTAATTACGAGGTTTTTCAACACTGGACGCGTAAACTTTATGAGAAGTGCGAACTGGCAGAGCACTGAAATTGTGACTGACGACGGGTACTAATCGCGGCAGGAGGTTGGATAGGGATACCCGCACAAAAAAAAAAAAAAAAAAAATGTTATTTCACTCAACTAACAGTGTGTAAACTGGCATCACCGTATGTGATACTACATTGTAATTATTTCTAATCTCGAGGACAAAGCTTAAGCATAATCTCTATTACTCATTGTTTTTTTTTATTCGGCTACACCTCAAGAAATAATCAATAAAATTTGTATTATAGATATATATATATATATATATATGGTCTTTGTATTTTTGACGATCGAAGTAACTATAAGCAACAACCCCACGTGTTCAGGGTATTGTCGCTTGCTCGGGGCTCGAGTTGGCATACGATTCTGTAATACTATAGTATTGTAAACTCGTGACTTGTCTAGGAGTAAAAATTACCTACAAATAAACAGAATCGATCATCTTCATTGATCTCGGGTAACACAGCCCTGGTGTTATTATCACGCAGTAATTCAATATATTCTTTAACGTAGGCGTCCCGTATGACACCTTTTTCACACATTTTCAAAAATGTGTTTACGAACAGCTATTGATCCTCTAGAAATAGTTTTAATGACCTTTCTTTGTCCTTTATATGATTCTTTCCCTTCATTTGACTTCTTCACACAAATTCTTTATTCTCGCGCGTTCGTCATATTTGTCTTTTTTCGTCTTAAATACATTTCTAAACCTTTGATGACTTACTACACCTAACTCTTACGTAGCATCGTTCAATAAAAAGTTTCTATATGCTTAGAAGGGCAACTGTTACTCGCGTCCTTAGGATACTCCATCTTTCCTAAGAAACACCCTACACATGCCCCCTGGGTGGTGCTAAAGAGTAACAAAGCCGAGTCTTGGGTGGCAGTGGGTGGCCCGATCTAACAGACCTAACACGTTTGTATATGTTGGTGGTAGGAAATTACCACAACAACTCGATCTTGAGGTCATGTCTCGTAAGGCTGAGGGTTTGACCTTAACCACTGACAATCGCCAACCTCCATTCAATCAAATAAGCGATTTGCCAACCTTCCAGTAGACTCGGTGGAATCTGAAAACCAACCAAAGCAGCCAACCAAACCACCTCCCATCGTGTTGTATGGGACTATAAAGGACTTGAATGAATACAGTTTGTACAACTTAGTGATTTAAATTCAAAATGATTGATAAAAACCTAATGTGCTTATCCGTAAGTACCGTAGAATACTACAAATTAGTGATAGACTTGATTTGGCAGAAGGGTTTGATCGGACATACGTTCTCACAAAAGAATACATGATGTCACAGAATAGTGACAAAAAGCCCCATCACACCCCACCACATGATGTCTTAATTCAAGAAATTGAAAAATGCAGCAATAAAGTTCGAAGTGAAATAATCAACTGTTGATATTGGTCGGATAAAAAGCCGACCTCAACATTTCTGTCATTTTTTAAATATTATAATAGCCAAAAAAAATTTGTACAACCCTCAATTCATAACAAGCGTTACACATTATTGTTAAAAGGGAATGAAATGAAACCATTATTACAACAAAGTATTGTTTATTTCTCATAACATCTCGAGTTTACATTTATAACATATTCACATACAATTTAATTTTCATAATCAATTATTCAGACGCATGCTAAGAAATTATAATATTCCCGATATATTGATATAAATATATTAATGGACTTAACTAATTTGTGCTTACATGTACTCTGTCGCTAAATTATATTACTTCATAACAGTGCTAAATTTCAAAATGTAATTATTGTACTTTATTATGCACTAACTTTTTATAGAAAAGCGGTTTATTTTTTTTTCTCAATATGCTCATAATAACATTTAATTGTCGAATACAACTAGAGTACCTACTTACCTAATAAAAATTTGTCGATTTCATATACTATTTTAAATATCAACTTTGTGTAGGCAAGTTAATCAGATTAGTATTTGACTAAACTAATATTTATCTAGGCATTTAAGAGAACATGTTAGAAATAATGATATGTGGTTATTTTGTATACAAATAAACTATTTAACATCAAAGTAACAATTAATTTTAAATATCACATACCTAATATTCGTAAAATTACACATAATATGATAACCATAGCTATAATTCATAATATCTTATGTGGTCCTTTGTATATCTCTACCTTAAAACACGTGTCAACTATAGCTTATCATAGTATTCTGTTTAGGAATATTTTATAGGCCACATTATTTAAATATATGGATTTGAGGTAAGCAACAAAAATATCTATCATTATTATCATCTGCACTTTAATTACAGTAATTTTTAAATAAATCGTGTTCACTATGCGATAACATTTAAGGCTATAAAAGTCACCTCCGTTGCTTAATTTAACTATCTAATAATACCTAATCAATTTACAAATAAACGCCGCAGAATTCTAAGATCGGAATCTTATCTATCATAAATATATAAGTGTATAATCCGATTCATATTCCGGTCAAAGTCAGTAAAGGCGTTTATTGTAAATATTCCAAATGCTTCATTATTTTCTAGTTTATTTTCTTAAAAATGTAGGAACGCTGCTGGCAGAACGTTAATATGAAGGCCCGTTTTCTATTGACTAAGTTAACATGGTCGTCAAACTCCATGTCATCGGCATAGTGGTTTCATAAGATATCTTATGAAAATAGGATTACCAAGTCGAAACAATTTTCGTAATTTTCCTGAGAACACATAACAGTATTATGAGTAGGTATACACATACTTAACCATGAAAAGTTTCCAAATATTTCCAGTCGTCACCGCTGGCGTCGACCTACTGTCCACCCAAAAAAATATGATGTGAGGTGACAAATTGGAGTACCTAAAAATATCCCAGTGGGGAATCATTTACACTGCAGTCTTATTTGTAATAATCTCGCTCCTTGTTCTATTAAAAAAATCCGCGTTTCTATTCTGAGATTTTAAATTGCGTTCGTATAAGGGAAATTGTTGTCACGTGGTCACCCTATACATGTGTTTAATATAGTTAGTTGGCTGATTATTATGTAGTAGACACGTGCTGAGGCGAGGCGTGATGCTCAGGGCTTGTGTGTTATTCATTGAGTATGCAGGTGCGCATGAGTGCATCTACGACTGCATACGGATCACAGTTCGACGCGGGTCGCCGATCTTCAAGATAGCCCTTTTTCTCCTCCGCAACAGATCGCGGTATTCGAATGCTGCTAGCTCGGTTTGCAACGCCTACGGACAAACAAATAATATATATATATTCGTGATGTAATTTTATCATCCACCGGATGATTGAAATCGAAATCCTATGACACACCCCAGCGGCAGGTAATGTTATATACATTACCCTAATAGTCTCGCATGCTAAAATCAATATAGTTAATTAATGCACTGTAAGTATTTGTGTAGACAGAGGCACGATGCGTTACTAAAAAATTACAAACTTCGGCAATAGATTTTGAAGTTTGATTTCAGCGCAGTAAAAAGCAATTTGATTAAGCCGGTAGTTATGGATAACCTAATGTTCAGTTCAATCCACTAAACCTATTTTTTCAATTGTTACATTATAGTCATAATGGCCCGATTACAGAAAAGTATCAAAAATATCTAATTGAGTAACTTTTCTGAATAACGTGTTTAAAACAAGCGTAATATTTAGTTATGTATCATAGGTATAAAGTTAATAAATAAGAATGGTATCAACCTAGTAAAAACGATATATTTATAATAAATTCCATCATAGATATTCTCATAGGAATCCAGGGAAACTCAAATTATGCATTCAATGCAGACAAAACGTTGCAAGTCACTGGCCTTGGCAATATGCCGTTTATTTTACATGTTCTCATTTCAAAGCGGATCTTATCTAACAGAGTTAATAAGTAGATATCGCAAAATTATGTTTGTTTTTTAGCAGTAAACGAAAAAGAACTACTTTATTACATACATTCATGCGTAATATTTTAATTGCAAATAGCCATTTTTCAAAAGGAAATAATGAAATTTTTCCCGATAAAAAGTAGCTCATGTCAGTCTTTTCAGTTTCCTACTTCCACTAATACAAAATTGACACCATCACGACGCTTGGTTGCGACATGAAAGAAGAACAAACAACACTTTCCTATATATATAGGAAAGTGTATTCGAATAATGAAATACGATGTGATTTTTAAAGCGGAAACAGGTAACAAACAATTTTAATGTAGGATGTTGCATTTCATTGATTAAGGAAAGCGATTACTGCAAATAAAAACTAGTCGTAGAGTCGTCGAAGGTCATAAAAAAAGATTGATTACTTTTCAAGTCTACTAACTTGGCCCGGTATTAATTCCTATCACATAATGAGATCATTATCTTTCAATTAGGAACTTGCGTTTAGAGGAAATAATAAAGACAGGCTATTTTGTTTGGCGTTAATTTCCTTATTGCAAGGGAATAACTAATTTCAATAGTGTTAATAGCTTTCAACGACATTTCGCATGTTCATAGAGATAAAAAATTAAAAAATGCAGAGTTGGAAATCAAATCTAAACTTTTTCATCTTAACTTACAAGTAAAACAAAATCTTCGATTGTTATTATATTATAAGGCATTAATTGTCTATGCATCAGTTCTGACATAGACGATGTTTTGAGGGATTCTTTAAAGATACTAGAATAGAGTAAGTCATAGACGTACGCAAACACAAAATTTCTCACTAAATATACTCGTACAATTCTTATACACATAAGATATATACAATAAAGATAAGTCATATCTTACTTTTATGCAAACACAAACCAAAAACCTTTTTTGTTTTGATCTGTTCATGTGGAAATATGGACACAAAGTAGTTGAAAATAATACCCAACGGAGAGCTAGTATCTGTTCTGCCTACTTCGCAGAGCATGGTTAATTTATAGTTAAATAAACATAATTAGATAGCACAGTAGTTAACACGCTGAATCTGTAATGCGAAATTAAGGCAAGATTGTACGTAATTACCAGTTTTAAAACTTTATTCTTAGGCTATGCTATGCTAATATTTTCTTAATTGAAATCATATTATAAAAATTAAACATATTATTGATTGGGTTTTGGATCGATTTTACTACTAGTATATTTCATCTTAACTATTATAAAAATATATACAAAAATAGGTTTTGATATTTTATTTTGATCACATATTTTTCATAATTGCATTGTTCTTCTGTGACTAAAATGTATGAAATCAAGCGAGCGCGTCTTTACTCTCGATACGTTTGTTTGTGTATTCACATGGGAACGTAAGCGGAGGTACAAGAGAACCTTAAGCGATTTTCGCAGCCCGGTAAATTTATTATGTCGAGCTCCTACGTGCTTCGGAAGGCACTATAAGACGTTGTTACCGGCTGCAACTGCAGTCAATAACACCAACCAGTTCGCGTTGGGCCCAGATGGTGGGTCGCGGCCCATTCTCATTATTCGCATGATATCCATCTATAAATATTAGATATTTATAGTAGATAATAGTGGAAGTTGTTGAAGTTTGCGTGTGAAATTTATTATATAGTTGGATATTTACCCGCACTGAAGTCGTTAATACTGGCAGTCTCATGTAGTCCTGTGAGTCTCCTTTCGTTGTCCTTCCCGCCGCGCGGGTCGTACACTTTGATGTGTTTCATATGCACCTTGGACAGCTTATCTATGGCTTTCTCAATTTCACTGCAATGACAACAAGATTATAGTTTTTAGATCACGTTATGTAAGAGCTGTAAAAATTATTACGCAATTCATGTCTGTTAATTTACGAGCAAACGGGCATTTACGGTCCAATATAGCCATCGTACGATAACCGGTTTTATGTAGGTAATGGAGTCAAAAATGGTCGTTGTTTTGAGTTCTGCTAGTAGTTTTGCATAATGTTATTTAATATTAAGTAAATATTTAATAGACTTTGCTAGACGCTTTTATTTTAATCGAATTGAATTCTCAGAAATTTTTGAACAACATGTAATTCCCAAAAGGCATGCATTTTAAAGAAACTTGATGGCGCAGCGCCTTCGGTTTGAAATGAGGCAGATAAGCTACTACAAGGGCCGATCATGGGATTGGGTCATTTGTGCACGGGGATCACGTTAAGCCATTATTTCGGGCCGCATTTGAAGTTGTTAAAACCTACCAATTTTAGAACCTGCGTGATGATCCCATTAGGAAGTCTACGAGCAGTAATTTGAACATTATTGGGTGATGATGATGATTACTCACATAATACCGTTGTCTTCTCTCATCTTCTTAGTTGAGAAGTTGGTGTGTGCACCTGAGCCGTTCCAGTCTTGCACGGGTTTAGGATCAAATGATACAATAACACCATATTCTTCAGCTAGCCTGTGGAGGATATATCGCGCCATCCACAGGTCGTCTCCTGCTGTTACACCTACTGAAGGCCCTACTTGGAACTCCCATTGAGATGGCATCACTTCAGCATTGGTACCGGCGATTGGTACACCAGCAAACAGGCAACACCTGTTACATTAAATGATTAATCAAAAAAATCCTTTGACGCTTAACTGGCCTAAAAGTGACCAATTTCAAATATATTGTAAATAAAAAAAACCGTGGCCATATAAAATGTAAATAATAATAATTACGTCATGTCTAAAGATGCTTATATCGGTAATAGCGTGAATTTTATAAAAAATTATTTTAATTATATACATATTTACAGATTAAAAAAGTACTAAATTATCCGTAATGAATTCGTCATTAAATTCTTTTTAAGTTGAAAATTGATGACTAAGAGCTGGGGAGTGATACCAAACATTTTTACTATTAATATACAAAAAAAATAATAATTGACAGTTTAGTTCACGCAATAATTCGATCATTTGTCTATTTGTTTGTGTCATTGACTGACCGATTTCATCTCATTTCCTTTTTTAGCGCACTCTAGCTCACTTTCACTAACGTAGTAGTCTAGCTATATGAAGGTAAGTATCTCTAATTATGATTTATTCATAAACAAATATCAAGAACAACAAAACGTGTATAGAAATGTTAACTTCAAAACACGAGGGACTATTTTATTAGATTTGATGTGATGTGATAACGCCACGTAACATTAAACACACCTGTAATGTGCCTCAACGAGATCCCTGGCGAAAACCTTATTGGCACCAACACCGCAGTAGTAAGGTCCTTGTGGTGGGGGGAAACCACCCGGGGGCCAGCCGAACGGACGCAGGTCTGAGTCCAAAAGGATGTACTCCTGTTCAATGCCGAACCAGGGTTCCTCATCCTTACACCTATCATATGCCTCTTGGCAGTTCACTCGGTTGTTGCTGTCTACAAGTAAAATAAATTCATACACTTTTACATTTAACAAAGTATCCGGATGTTGTTTGGTTTCATAAAAATGATCGTGAAAAAGACTTGAAATTCACTATTCATTCATGATGCTGATAACATTATATCTAGTTGAAAAATACAAGTGATAAATACAAAGACGCACCTGTAGGTTCCATGTTATATTTATAAGTGTCACACATTACTAAGACATGATTGCCACGTCTGAACGGGTCTTTGTATATAGCCCGAGGGTATAGGAATGTGTCCGAGTTGTGGCCCTCGGCCTGTCCAGTCGAGCTGCCATCGAAATTCCATACTGGCAACTCTAAAAAATAAATATATTTCATGACAAATATCTATACGAATAAAACTCAGATTAACAACTATACATCCCTATGACTACACAAAAATCGATACCTACGACTAGTATTTAATTATGTAATATCTACTAAAGAACCTACTCGACTCCATAATAAAATACGCAGGCAATAAAATATTCGATGGTAACCAATATTGAAATTATATCACACATATTCAGTAGAATCAGCCATATCGTATCTAAGTAAAAATAGTTGCTAAGTCGCTAAATACTATAATCATAACATGTATGACATCGTTACAACATAAACGCCTACCTACTTATTTGTATTATTAACAACACATGAGAAATACATGTAAGACAAATGAAATCTACTACATCAATAGCTGACATTTCTACGACTGCTAGTAACTTATTACCACGAAACCTTTTAAATTCTCATTAAAGCTATCCCTATTATCTGTTTCTCTCAGCTTGCAGCGGACATCGAACACAGTTTCTAGATCCTTAGGACAAAAATATGGCGGCAGGAATCGTAATGCATGATTCCACGTCAACTTTCTTTTGACATCAGTCATATATGCTTCGTTCATTTTCTCTAAAATGCTCGTTAATTTGTCTACAAATGAAATTTGATGTCATAATTTTAAACACCTGCAATATTGAATGGAAACAGCGACCTGACCAGGGTTACAGAAAATAAACATCTCATGCCGCGAAGGCCAAACTATTTACGCAGCCACAATAATTACAATTGGTAATGAGGATACAATAAAACGAAGCTCACGTCACCAGCTATTACCAAATGGACATATTATAATCTATAAATATAGTGGCTGCTATAAATACATTGATAGTTTCCAAGATTAAAAATAACATGTATCCAAGTAATATTTATAGCAGAAAAAATAGAGGGTTGATAGTTGTTAGAATTAATTGAATAAAGAGTGAAAGCTTCATAAAAGACAACGAAGAACTACAGACTAAGTTAATACGTTTACGAAATAAAATATTATATTTTTCACAACTCTTTCCGCTTGTAATTAACAGTGACGGTTATTAAAAGTAAAAGTAAAAGTTTTTCGTGCTTTGATAAGTGTACTCACCCTTAGGCACTCTTGGAATAAAGCTGATTGTACGATCTTTACACCTAAGGTGTTCTCCAGTTCCATCGATCCAGATATAAGTTGCGATGATCTTGTCCGCTGGCAAAGGCAGGTCATTGTACCTGCTGAGCAAGGTCTTGGACAGCACGGCGTTCGGAGAATTCGTCAGCACCGGTCCCGATAATATTTTCGGGTTATCTGTGGAGGTAAATTAGATATTCAGTGAGTGTTGCTAACTCCACGTACTTTAAATCGTGTTCTAGAAAAAAAAATACAAATCGGTAATAAGACAATCGCGAACGATGGGAAAACTTGGTGCGAACTAAGTCCGGATATTTAATTTTTCAGAATTTGAAAAAACAAGCAGTTTAAATGTGATATATAACAATATTTTAGCAATAATTTTATTATTTATTATATGTAAATAAATAAGAAGCATAATTTATTACAAATTATTAATGCTAAAGTGATATAATGAAAAAAAATAATTTCGACAACGAACCTGGACGGCGATCGATAACCGGTTTCGACATATTTACTACCATTTAATATACTTTGACACTTCGTATGAAAAGATGTGAATAAGTAAAGGCTCTAGTCCATCTGACTTATGAACAAGATGCTGTTATGTATTTATACATTTGCTCTCCGATTGCTGGCCGGGGCAGACGAACTTTACTAAACGTAATATAAACAAAAGATTTCGTTAAACACGTAATAAACTGATAACGCGGATAACACAATAATTTTGGTCACATGACATATATATGACACAAATTATTGACGTATTACTTTTTTAATTGTAATTGATGACAGACGTACATTTGACGAGCGTGTTGTTATAAATATAAACGTAGGTTCGTTAGAAGTTGCGTGCGATATAAAATTAATGTTGGGTCATGGCACGATGTGAACGCAAGAGATGCTTGTACATTAACATCCACTGCAATTGCATCACTTTAATGATCGTGGTAAATTCCCTCGTATTTACATAGACATACATTGTACGTATAAACAAGCAAAATATCACACAAAGTACCTATTGCATTGTTTATTTTATGATATCCATTTTTATCAACAGTTTCACATACATTTACTACCTAGCTTATTGACTTTTGCCTGCGCATTAGTCCGCATGGCATATTTATTTTCAATAACGAAATTTCATTCCCTACCTCAACTCTATCAGGCCCCATTTTGCGTGAAAAAGTAATGTTTCAACTCGGATGTAGGTGTGGAATCAGAACAGACAAACAGAGTTACTTTCGCATTTATAATATCAGGTTCAGGACCCAATTACCTAAGGGATAATAAGAAAATGGTAGATCTATAAATCCATAAGGGAGAAAGAAAATGTTGAGCCCTTTTATCCCCATAAAAATTGGTTACGTTCTAATAAAATTTCTGTTCTCGTCAAACGAAGCCAATATTTCAATCCAACTCTAAATACCTCACCGAGTGGCTGGAACGATGACCCACTCAATAATCAAACGCTGAACCAATGATTAAGGATACTTTATACGATAAACTCTGACGAGGCTGTCTGCTTGACCTGCTTTATATTGATAAATATAAATTTCCTTGTATTGTTTATTCTACTTGAATTTACTACTCGGAAGTAATATATTAATTATTTTTATATTTTTCTTCTTATAAATTGCGAAACGGATGGACTAAGTCTTTAAATTTAGCAATTACCTACTTTCGATATGGTCCTTAATCTTATTCCGCATTGTGAAATTGTATGGTAATTTATGATCATTTAGAGCTGACATAGTTTAGAGTTGTATGTGATAGTTTTTAGTGTCGTTATATATTTTTTTTGTTAGAATTAATTAACATTGAACTTTATCATTAATACGAGCAAGGTTTAAAATTTGTTAAATTTCACATCAGTCTTAACTAGGTCAATGCGTAAAGATGCTCACCTTCTATTTTCACGTCTGCCATATTTGTATTTCCTTAAAGATCTGAAACAAAAAAAAAAGGATTATGTAATACTCATAATAAATTTAATGATTATTATGAAATGACAAAGTAGTATATTCTTTAATATGATTAAATGTCAATATTCATAAAATATGCGAAATAACTGGACTGATCTTAAAAAAAATTTCATCTACTGGAAGCTACATTATATGCGGTGAACATAAGCTATATTTTATCCCGATTAACAGCAAAGTTTGTATATTGAATTAAAACGTTGCCATAGTGACCATTGTTTATTATTTAATTTGTCATTGTAATTATATCTGTGTCATACAATGAATCGATATACCGTTAAACAATACCCTAGGAACCACCCGGGCGAAGCCGCTGGCGGAAAGCTAGCATTGTATATTTTTTAAACAAGCTATTGAACGAGGCCAGACTAGATGGGGGTGCGTTGTTTAATTATAAAATTTCCATGTCCACCTTTCAGTTCTATCATTACGCCCTTGATATTGTTGAATAAAGTTCTTGTCAAGACAAATCAAATTAGCTGAATTTCTATGGAGTTCGCTTCGTTTAATTGGCTAACTTCTGGCTCCGTCATAATGCATATATATTATGCATACACATTTCAATCGAATACCGGGAAGTGGATCATATTTAGAATGCAAGATTTAACCCAGACTAGCACTGCAAATCAAATAAAAGCTCATGGCATGTAAAAGTATAATGGTGTATGTATTTGTGTTTATAGTAAAAAAATCTTAGAAAATTTTATCACCCAGAAAAAAAAGAATAGCCGGTCATTCCCTTTAAGATTTAGAGCAATAAGATAGCGTAAAAAAAATCCGCTGTCTGTATGACCGTTCCTAAAGGTATAATTTGAAAACGACTAAAGCAATACATACGTGGAATATTCTTCAAGTTTTTTATACTTTAATGATAAAAAGGGACACGCAAATTAATAGAAGAAAATATATAAAAAAAGATATAATATAAACATACCTATATGATACTTTAACCAAAAATGTAAAATTATTTCCTTAACTGTAAATAAAAATGATTTTGACTATGCTTTTTTTTAAAGACTTTATCATATATTTGTGACTCACGGCGTATCTCAACAATGATGCGTTAACACAAACAAACCCTTGACACAAAACGTCGGTTATTTCGTAAAATCGATTGGCACGATGCCCAAAACTAGGTGACTCTAACAAAACGACAGTCGCCATGTAGCTACCAAACGGTCGCGACGAAATCAATTATACAAAAGAAAAGCTTTTACATACACTGACACTATTTATGTCGCGAAAAAGATATAAGAAACCGTATAAATTTTGTTGCTAAGGTGCTGCATTAGTACCTATTTATATAATTTTATTCAACAGTGTATCAAAATAGCTAAACGCAAAAAAAGACTGAATATACAAGCGCGTTCGAGGAATGGTAAGCTGGCAATCAATGCCGTATCACGCAACTTCATCGTGTGACGCTCTCCGATTAGAATAATTTATCAGCACAGCCTAATGAGTGTGTACCTAATTATAATATTATTATAAACAAACAATTAAATGAATAAATATGAGAACATTGCATTTGCATCGATTACCAATCTCGATTATACTGAAATCAGAAATACCTAAACGGTGGGTATCGACACGCCTACATTTGTGACAATAATTCATTTTCTAGCAAATAATTTTATGTAGATTGTCATTGTTTTCTAGTATTTTGTATATTAATTAATAAGGATAATGAAACTAAAACTTCAGATTACGGACATGTTCAAATTAATAAATCGTCGTTTAAACTATGCACTAAAAACATTGAAACTAATTTTATTGATACGGACTTTCTTGTTTGGCACAATATTTAGTTACTACCTTAATTCAGTCAAGAAACAATTTCTGCAACTGGTTCTGTGTAAAATTTAATTAGTGAAACACCTTGATTTCGCCCTTGATCTTACGAGAAACGTGTGAATTTTTGGGTATTTTGGTAATTCAAACATGGTAATTAGGTAACACAACCCGATGGATTTTAAATTATCATAAAAAATGACCAAACGTTTTAAAAACCTTCTATGTGCCAATGATAACCGCTGTGTAGCAACTGAAAATGAAAAGGTGTTATATTATTATAGTTTTTTTTGCACTCATTTTACGTCCCCACTACAGAGGCTCAGACTTTCCTTATGGATGGTTAATGAGGATGGGCCATGACCCTCCACGCTGGCCCTGGGTTGCTTACCAACAACGATCGCGGACCGCGGGCCTTGTCCACTACACCACGGATCTACGCACTTTTAGTAGTTGGTTCAAAAAAACTAGATCATCTTTAATTAATATATTACCGAACTTAGTTACAGATAATAGAAAAATAATCTGTAGATATACTTTATGTATCTACAATGAAGGTAATGATTTGTTCCCCTGACATCTGAATGTAATTGCCTGCTCTGAATTGTTCGAGCTGTGATGATGTAATGAATGACTAATTGACAATTTATTGATTTGAATGTCAATATATATAACAACAGTATAATTAATTACAGTGGCCAATAGTATTATACTATTTGTGTTGTGAATTTGGTGACTTTAGATACTGACAATAGAATTACGGTACTTACCAATTTGAATATTCATTCAAATAAGTAAGTAATGTATAGCTAGATTTTTCAATTAGTATTTAGTCTAAATTGCCCCAGAGGAACTGTTTGATGGCGTGGTTAGCACTTTCGAAGGAACCGGTCATAGGATAGGTGAGTCTCAACTCCATTTAGATGCGATTATTGGGTATGTATACATTAGAAGGATTGAAGTAAGAAAAGAACGCCTTTTCTTGAATTATTTGCGTCCTAACACTAATCTCAAAAAAAAAAAAAATCACAAGTAGGGTAATTTTTCGACAACATGACAAAGCACAAAAACAATTTAATGTTCATATTTTTTTAAAAGAAATTAAAATGTTACCTGTTTATTATTAATATCTAATAATTATTCCAACATTATAATAAATAACGATTTCGAAAATAAGTATTCTAATTTTCACTTATCAAAGACTTTTATGACATTTAATTAGGTAAACTCGTAAGACGATTAATTAGGCACTGCTACTTATGGTATTCTGTCAAAAACAACCTCGAACTCGACGTCGAGAGCAGCCCTGTGACAGCACAGAGCATCAAAGAAATAAAACCTGTATTACCTTTAAATTAGGTTTTATTATACCTTTATGCTTTTACAGCGCTGTGCTCGGCTGAGTTCGTAGTCCGTAGTTAATACGCACTATTTTATACCTATTATTTTACCTTTTCTTCGCCTTATTTATCTGTTAGAAACTAAATAGTAAACATATTTTTCTGCGCACATATCTATGTAGACACAGGTAACCTTGAAAATCCTTTAAATATGCAGTAACCATATCAATGATATTGCGTTTGAAATAAATAATCACAACATTGTTTGTTATTTTATATGTCTACATGTATTTGCTTTTTAATTAACTATGAGTACGTATTTATGATTTTCTTATTAATCATAGATATCTAATTGTTATTTTTTTTAAAGTTTATTCATACGCAACATTTTTTTTTATCTTAGTAGGTTAATAGCCCAACAACAAAGTCCAGTAATGCCGCTTATCAAAATACCTATCATTAGATATACCAATTTTGTAATTAATTTTTACTTTTGGAAATGAATTATTGTTGATTCACTAATACGAGTATATCGATGAATTAAGCAATTAATACAATAAAAAATTCGGGTCTTAGCACGGTTTCATTTAGGGAAAACGTGTCATTAATATTATAAATATGTAAAATTGTATTTGTTTGGCATACATAATGTTATTTTTGCTAATCCACAACACAAACTTTATTAGGTACATAACATCATTAATGGCTGTAGGTCAGTCAGCTGAATAATTTAGTACATTAACAGTAAAAATATATTAGACAAAAGAAGATAGTTCTATCATTCTATGATAACAGTTTCAAAGTCCACTAATATGAAGTTTGCATATTCTAAAATACGACCAACGTTTTAGTCGGCAAGAATTCCCTAAGGATCCTTATCTACACTACAAGTAGTTTGTAGTGTAGATAATTGTACACTACAAGTAGTTTGTAGGTGATCGTCTCTCTAGTCATGACTCTAGCCATAGAATACGACATATTAGCGTTATTTTGTTTAATTTTTCTATTTTGACATCAATGAATTAAGTTGTTTGACTTGCAATGTAATAACGACAAACAAATGATAAAGAATTATGATTATAGATTCTACAATTAGTTTCACTTGAAACGAAATATTAATACCGACATGGGGTTCAGATCTAACATAAATCAAAACTGTATAACTATTAAGCTAAGATTCAATCATACGAAAAAACAGACTCGCAACGTTAAATAACGTTCCAGATTTTACGCAGTTCCCATATAAAGTAGGTAGTTCCCATGTAAAGTACCTTTTGTGTTATAGAAATCTGAAACAATGACGGTTCAAGAGTGCTCGGGATCTGACACAATTTAGAGAAGTTCATTTGTAACAGAGTTGTATACATCCTTAATTTTGTAATTACTTTCATCGCTCCATTAGCTGAGTCGGTTAAAGTTTCGTTGAATGCCGGTAATTAAATTTAGAACCTTATATTAAGTGACATCTAGAAATCGGGGCATGAGTCGTTCAACTCACTCAGCCAAAGGTACATTGTGTTTTCTTTTAAGAATGTGTAACATCGCATTATAAAGTGTATGTTTCGTATTCAGAACATTATGGTAATGTAGCCTGCACCTGATTTGTAAGTCAACGTGATCTAAATTTTGGTAGCCTAGACTGTTCTATGATGTGTAAAAAAATAGCCACAGAAGCAAGTCAGTACCTATATTTTTCTTTGTTATTGTTACTAACAATATAATAACATGTTAACTCAACCCTCTGTGAAGTTTAATTAATTTTTCAGGTAATGCACTTTATTCTTCAAATATTCACTTTAATCTTTCCAACCACTAGAAACTACCCCAAAAGGCAAG